AAATGCTAGTACTGAGAAAGATCCACCAAGCTTAGCCCCTTTGGTAGATGAGTTTTCTTACCGTATGTTTAGTTTTTGTGGTTTAACAGAAGAAAGAATAAAAGACTGGCTTTCACTTCCACCGCAATACTGGCATACACAGTCTTCGTTTAAAAGTTTTCAAAATTATGCCAATAGCCTTATTGTTATCAATGACCATTCGGAAAGAGCCGTGGGCATAATGCAGCAATATGTTCATCGTTATAACAACGAAGAGGAGAAACAGAACAGATTGATATCAGTTGACAGAGTTCGCTCTGCTTTCAGGATTTCTGGGAAAAGCTCCACCAGTCTTACCAAAAAAAGGTTATCTGATAGTCTTTCCTCTTTAGCGAAGAAACAAAACACAAACAAACAAAAGAAGGATTAATTAGATAAATAAAAGAACTTCTACAAAATCTTCTTAAATATTTAAAAATAATTTTTTTTTGATATGGTAAGTAACATTGAATCGTGATATGCAAAAACCACATATGTTACAAAATCAAAATTTTTGTAAATTTGAAAAAACCTTTAATTGTTAATGACTTGTTTTTGTTGGCCACTTGAAAACCGCGTATTTACTAATAATGTAAGGTTATTTGACAAATTTTTGATTTTTTCAGAATATCTTTGATAAGGAACATTTTTCGCAATAAAATCTCAAAATTTTGCAAAAAAGTAAGAAAATGCGAAGCGTGGTTTTTGCAGATCACGATTAAATTGTTGTAAAACTTAATTTATTTTATTCTGATTAAAATATTATAAATAATAAACATACATAAAATAAGTAGTTCTATTCTTGTTTTGAATATAAACATTTGCAAGCTATACTTTAAACCTGAATAACAATGTTTGAATTTAATTATTGAAAATGTTATTAAAACAACGCCGCACCGCGAAATAAGCGTTTTTTAGCTGATTTAAAATGCAAATTATACTGTTTTTTGTGAAGAAAGAAAAAAACAATACTATTTTTAATCAAAAATACTGATATTTTTCTTAACCCTAAAATAAAATTTTTTTAAAAATATTCACGCTAGCCTTGCCCTCAAGACACTTTAAAGTAAGCAGTTTTTGGTCATTTTTGAGTCCTTTTTTCCCAAACATGTGCTTTGAGGGCAAGGAAAAAGTGGTTCAATGGTACTGAAATTTTTTGTAAGTAAGTTTAAACATATTTGCTTCAAATCTAGACGGTTTTGTTTTTCAAATTCTAAAATTTTTTTTTTTGAACACCCCTAATATATATATATATATATATATATATATATATATATATATATATATATATATATATATATATATATATATATATATATATATATATATAATTTTTTTTTTGCAGTAATTTATTAGATTTTTTATATTAAATAATATTAGTTATATTTTCACTAATTTAATTTATTAAGAAAAAAAATGTATAATATATATATATATATATATATATATATATATATATATATATATATATATATATATATATATATATATATATATATATATATATATATATATATATATATATATATATATATATATATATATATATATATATATATATATCACGGCTGTTTCACTCAATATAAAAACGAGCGTGACGTCATGAGTTTATCAAAAAAAAAAAGTATTTCCGCATAAAAAGTATAAAAATTCACAAACTTTAAATTAATAGTAACTTTTTTATATAAATGCTTTCATCTTGCAATTAAAAAAATATAAAAGATCTATCTTTCCTTGTTAAATAAATATTTACATTAATTGGTATAAAAATAAATATTATTAAAATATTTATAATAATTTAAAACCACTTTTCTAATTTTCGCATATTTTCCGGAAAACATGAGTTGGGCCAACTAAGATTTCCTAACATAGCTGAAATTTGGAACACTTAACCCTAAATGTCCATTCTATCAGATTCCTGCGTCATCCTAGAGATTTTTTTACAAAAAGACTGTTTTTAAAGCATTTATATTTTTTAATTAATGGTTTTTAAATGCAAAACGTAATTTTTTTGATGGATGACGTAAGTTAATAAAATTTCAACCTTTTATGCAAATGAAAATAAAAAAATTATTTTACGTACCTTTAGCTATGTTATGAAATATGTTTTCAAAAATGTCATGTTTTACAACTAATCTTGTTAGTTTTAGGCGTACATTTGTGTTGACGTTTTTTTGCGATGACGTAACCTTTATGCGTTACGTCCCAAACTATTTATTAACGAATATTCTCCAAACAACTGTTCGGCGAGTCAATTTTTGAAGTATAAAGTAAACAAAGTTACGCGGAGTTTTTCTCTTTGGATTATCAAACTAATATCAGATAAGTTTTTAAATCCACTTTTATCTATATTTGTTAATTAATATTATTTTATTTGTTTTTATTATATTGATTAATAAGTCAATATTATTTTGATAACTATGTATTCAACTGAGAGGGAAATTCTAAAACAACATATTGGATGGAAAAATGGTTGGGAAGATAGGTGTAACTTTCCTTTTGTTAAACAATTAATTAGGACAGATAAGATCAGTAACAATGTCATTTCCATTTTAATGACAGTCTTTAAAATAAGAAGTAATTTATTTAGTTTTATGAGTTTTCTTTTGCCAATTGATTTTGATATGCTTAGTAATGACGAGTTTGATAAAATGTGCCTAAAGTTAACACGCCAAAAAAAGAAATATAAAAAAATTTTTAAAGCTATAAAAAACGAAGAATTTTTTAAAATGCAACTGTCACAAGCTCCACCCAAAAAAAAATAATCAGCAGATGCAGATGACTTTTTCACTTTAAATAACAGTCAGGAGCTACTGAATCAAATTGATCAATTAACTTAAAATAAAACAAATATGGAGCAAATAGAAAAATTTTAAATGCAAGTATTTAAGTTGGAAGCTGAAATTACAGATTTAAATTCTAAAAATAGGGCTCTCAACACACATTGTAACTTATTAAGTTCTCAATTAGAGACTATGAGTATTAGACTAAAACAGGAGGAGCAGTTCCAACTTAAAAAAAAAAAAAAAAAAAATTAAAACAGCTCAGTGTAAATTTGCATCTGCTCGTGTCAAAAATGTAAGATTGCTAAAAAAAATTAATATTGAAAAAAAAATTGCAAAAATTAGTGATTTAAGCCAGAACAGTTGCCAAATTTGCAAATGTTTTGCTAGTAGCGGTAAGGATTTAGTTGTGGTTGATTCTTATTTAGACTACGACAACATTGGTTCCTCTGAATTATTTTGTGGGTTTAAATTAAGTAATCCACAGAATTTATCAGTTAAAAAACCAATAGTAAAAAATATACTTACGTTAAGTTAAGAAATGGTAAACCTTATTCTAAGTTAGGTAGGCATGCTGCAGCTAGACGATCTAAACTTGCTTTTATATTCCTTCGATTATTAACTTGTTCAGATTTATAAAGTGATTTGTCTATGTTGTTTTGTGATTCTATGTCTTGTGAAAAGTCAATATTTTGTTGTGTTGCAAATAAGTTGGGTTTAGTTAAGCAGTTAAGTGTTTCTGATGCTGTAGAGCTACATAGCCAATTAAGGATGCCCACGGCTGAATTCCTTAGACTAAGACGTATTCTGTGCAATTTTGGTGCAAAGATTCTCCCATCTGAGCCCAAGATAAGACAAGAACAAGAAATGCAGACAATGCATGTCAATAAAGAACATGTTACTGTTAAGTCCGTTTTAATTTATCCATCTGCGAATGAAGCATTATCTGTACTGATGGTCAAGAATTTGACAACTTATATTGAAGAGGTTTTTAATAATCTTTATGTACGCGACCACCTTAATTCAGATGTCGGTTTTGGCGAAGAAGTTTGGCTCCTTTTTGCTAGTGATAAGGGTGGGAAGTATATGAAACTATATTTTGAAGTTGTCAATTCTAAATCATCAGGGTCTGTATACGATGTTCACTTGTTTTGTATGTATCAGGGTTCAGACTATCGTGAGAATAGTTTTCAGGCATTTTGCCAACAACATTAAAAGAATTCAGTCGTCAGATTTTAAGCTAAAAGGCAAAATAGTCAGGTTGTTCTTAGGTATAGATTTTCATTTTATCGATGATGTTCTGGGACACCAAGGTTCAGCTGTATAAAACTGTATAAGTTATTGTTGAAGGAGTGTAAGACTTTAGATTGTCAAGCTGTTTCGTCTTTGTCGCATAATGAGAATGTGAGAACGAATGATTTGTGGACTGCTAAAAGCGTTGAATGTTCTAAAACAGCAGAAGCTTTACGTTTATTAGGAAATCTACAGGCGCGTTGGTTAGCTTTTAATAAAAATATTTCTAAATTTTCTCTAAACTCCTCCAATTCCTCCAAAAAAATTTCTTTTATACTTAAAGATATGAAGGTTGAGCGACAAGCTTACCATGGTAATGTATTTGTAGGCAATCATTGCAAAATAGTTTTAAGAAACCACTATAAACTTTGTAGTGTTATTGATGATGAAGCAATTAAAAATAGGTTTGTACGTGTGTTAAGTGTTTTTAATAAGTTGCAACCTATTCTTTTTTGGCCAAAATTTCTTTCCGATGCTGAAATTACTGAGCTTCATCAATATATAAATTTGTTTGCTATTGAGTTTCATGCTTGCTTTCCAAATGAAAGTATCGCACGAAAAATGCATGAACTTATTTTTAATGTGCCACTATTTGTAAAATTCCATGAAACTATTGGGTTGCTAAGTGAAGAGGAGGGAGAGTGTTTGCATAATAGCGTAAATAAGGAATTAAGACAGTTGCATTCAGTAAGAAATCAGGAGCAGAAGCTGCATCTTGTTTTAAAACGCTTTGAATTGCACAGCAAAGCTGATAGGAAGCTTCAAGCCTAAGGTGAGAAAGTGTGTTGTGTGTTCTGAGCGTGGCGAAAATTCATTTTATAGACAAGGTCTTTGTCTTGTTTGTGGTCATCGAATTGAGTTAAAATATTTAAAAAATTAAAAATAACAACAACAAAAAAAACTATTTACAAGTAAGATAAATTATATGAGATCTTTAATTTATATATAAGATAATTTTATTCTGTTCTAATATCTGTGTAATGTTAGTTTAAAATATTATTTTTTATTATATTGATTTTATATATTAGGTAGGTGCCCATTCTGTTCCTATCTTCAGAAGTTATTTATACCTATGCAATACCTTTGCTCAGGTTAAAGAATGGAATACTAGTCTTGCATCAAATGTATGTAAAAATCTAGCTTTTATATATTAACTTGTGATCAGAGCAACTGATATGTTGGTTGGGTATCATCTTGTATGTTTGTGTATTTAATTTAAAAAATATATTGTCCTTCATTATATGTAACATTTTTTTATAGATATTTTACATATTCATTCGATGTTTATCACCAGAAGTTAGTTCTACCTTTGCAGTACCTCTGCTCTACATACCTCCTCGCTGGTTAAAGAATGGAATATAAATCTCATATCAAGTTGGTGTAAAAATTTAGTTCAATAAATTAAGAATTTGTAAACGTTATCAAAATTTTGAGTGGAGCAATTGTTTTTCTGGTTTAGCATGAGTATGAATCTGATATCAATTGGATGTACAAAGATAGTTTACAACTTAAAGAACCTATCAGTAAACCAACTGATTATTAAACAGTTTTTAATGGGAATAAAAGCAAATTTTTAAAAGATTTCAATTAGCTATTTATCTTTAATATTTTAAAAGTTATAAAAGTTTTAGTAACACCTCTTAAGTCAATGTTTTCAAAAAATAACAAGAAGCCGTTAAGCTCCGTTTGAAACAGCCGTGATATATATATATATATATATATATATATATATATATATATATATATATATATATATATATATATATATATATATATATATATATATATATATATATATATATATATATATATATATATATATATATATATATATATATATATATATGTATATATATATATATATATATATACATATATATATATATAAATATATATATTTATATATATATATATATATATATATATATATATATATATATATATATATATATATATATATATATATATATATATATATATATGTATATATATATATATATATATATATATATATATATATATATATATATATATATATATATATATATATATATATATATATATATATATATATATATACATATATATTATACATATAACATAAATAACTACTAAACTAACCAAATAAAATTCAACTTTTTCGTACCCCTCTTACCACCCACTTACGGAAATCAGAAAAACAGAAATGAGGTACCAAAACTGCTCACTTATGTACCAATAAGTCTGCTCAATAATATTTTTCAATGAAATAATGAAATTTGGTAGGTAGATAAAAATATATGTAAAAAACTATCTGGGTAGGTTTGCAAACTATCTGAGAATTTCTTTGACAATAATTTAATGTGAGAACAACAACCAAGTTTTTAATACAAATAAAAGCAATACAAAAATTACCAACCACACATAAATGTTATATATTAATCAAGTTAAAATATTCTTTTTTTAAAAAATAATCTAAGTTTAGTAACGTTTCTAAACAGAAACGCCACAAAAAAACGTTCGCCTGACGTTACCTAAAAAAAAATTCAAAAAACCTGGCACAAAATTTTATTACAAAATTCGGTTCCGTAAAACACGGATTTCCGCGTACCTTAATATATATATATATATATATATATATATATATATATATATATATATATATATATATATATATATATATATATATATATATATATATATATATATATATATATATAATAAAAAAAAAAAAAGCAATTACCACTAATCCTTTAAAAATAAAGTGCTGCTTATGGTTGGAAAACAAACTTCTTTGAAGTGTTAGGCTAGACTTTCTTTGACAAACCAATTCAAAACAGTCAATAATAACTTTTATTTTAGGATAAGTCTCATTGAAACATTACGAAATGTTAAGTTTTAGGTGATTTAAATAATGCTAAAATAGTATTGCACTGAGTTTAATGTATATTAAATTTGACCATTCAACAAGATTGAGATTTGGTCTCTTAATAACCACAAAGTAAAATTTAACTAAATAAAAGTGTAAGCCATGTTAATAACATAAATAGTTGGTTAATCAATTTTATGGTTCACTAATAACCAGATATGTAAAAAATGAATGATATGTAAAAACTTCTTTGGGTAACTTTTCCTAAGAATGATGTTTAGAATAATAATACTTTATACTTTCACGTTCCTTTCTTGGATTTAAATATTTAAATAAAATGCCAAATATTTCTTTTCTCATGCCAGTGAACGAGTTAAAACATTTATCATCTTTTTTGTAGCAAAAATAATACGTTAATTTTTTAATTTACATTCTTTAAGCAAGTTTCATTAGTTTTTATAAACTACTATTTGGCTTTTTTAAATGATTTTTTTTTTTTTTTTTTCGGATGAATGTATAATTAATGTATAAAGTTTTTTTATCGCTGAATTTAATCGTGAACTCTGGATATTTTGACCTTTTACATAGAGATTTTCAAGATAATTTTTCTTATGTTGTTATAAATTAATACAAGCTTTAAATTTCATTTCTTTTTTTTTTAATTTTTTACTGCAACCTGAACTAATATTTATTTCCTAAGGCCTGAATAGAAACTTACAAACTTTAGAGAGTTTCGTTATTTTGAAATTCCAGCACCTCCTTTACGTATATATTCAAATATTTTGATTCACCAAGCTTTGTGAACCTCGTGTTTTTTCTCTTGGTTCGGGAATGAGATAGACCAATATTAGATTTCTTCAGGCTATTATAAAATGAATTTCCACACATTAATATATAGTAATACTCTATTCCACCTTTTTTCAATACTGGTTTGATAATGCTATAGTTAGAGTAAGACATTTTTATTTAGTCGAATTTAGTTTGTTTACACTTTTGGCCTCTTTTTGAAGCTGAGTTTCAGTTGCGCAAGCGAGTTAGAGAAATGTCTATTAGAAACCATTTTATGTTTGCGTGATATTACGGCTTGGACTGTTAACGGGTTAAGGTAAGTAATTAATTTTATTGAACTTTAGGATCAAACCCGACTAAGTATTATAAATACTAGGCTTTATTTAAACACTTACGACTTGTATATACTAGTCTATATAGAGGTTAAATTATTATTCTCTCTTGCAATATATGTCTTAAGCTGCCTTAGTAGCCTTATTATAGCACAATAGTTAGTGCTCTGAGTATAGAGAATAGTTAGTAGCCTTAAATTAGTTGCTTTGATTAGTAAATTCAATAAAAAAATCAAAACAACCAACAGCAAACCAACAATTGCTTATATTTTTAATTATAACAACAAACAACATCAATTCTTCTTAGAAAAAAAAGTTTATCAGCCCTAATTTGCTAGCTGACCTTACTCGAAAGGCCTCGTGGAATATATAAAAGCGCATAGTAAAATCTAAAAACTACTATAAAACTAAGAAATAGTGTATTTTACAGAATACAGAACCGTATTTAACATTACGAAACTATGCGTAACTATGCGCATTAATAATAATATTCATTGCAAGAATTATATGAAAACTTATTAATTTTAGAATAGTGACTTAATAAAATAGACTTTCGTATATACAGGCAAGCTATATATAAATGATTATAATTATTTATATTAAAGAAGGAGAATTTGAAAATAAGTATTAAAACGCAACATAAAACTTCTCAAAGAACTAAAAATTAAATAATAAAAGTTATGTTATCTATAATAAGTTCATTGCATTACAATGCTAAACCAAAATGTTGTCCACACCAAAATTAAAAACCGTATTAAATTTATCTATATTTAAGACCTCATTGTCTTGATCCTTTTGTAATAATATTCCTTTCATAACTTACATAGAAAAGCAATATTTAATTATTGATTATTATATTAACGCAAAAAATAATATGAAAAAGTTATTTAAATCTGTAAATTGCGTAAGATTTATACACTAAAACATGTTTGAAAAGTAATTGTGCAACTGCAAAACATTCTCGCGTTGGCAAAAAATAACATAAATGAGCTAACTGTCCTTAAGAAGTTCCCACAAAACTTTTCAAAACTACAAGCTTATCCTTTTTTTTTATATTATTATTTTAGTTATAGTGCTAGTTAAATTTATATAATAATAATATTTTTATACATATAATATAATTAAATAAATCTACATAAATTATATATATATTTATATAAATTATATATTATAAATATTACATTATATAAATATATATATTTATTTATATAAATTATATAATAATATATTTATTGTTTAACTTTGAAACATTCTCTTGTTGGCAAATAAAATCATCTTCTGACTGAATACGCAAAGCAAAATAATAATAGTTATAGTACTAGTTAAATTTATATACGCAGTTTTTAAATAACAATAATAATAAACAAACGCTCAGCAAACGCTAATGCTTTTCTTTACCCACCTGGCCGACTTATTGCATAAGACTTAAATTTGTGCAATTAATAATTGTTTATTTAATTAAGAATAACGTCCTAAAAATATTGACTTTGGTATATATAGACAAGCAATATACAAACAAGTAATATATTTTTTTTTTTATTAAGAAAAATAATTTAAAAAAATGTGAAAAGCGCTTAAAACAACTACTCAAAAAAATTTAGGCTAAATAAAAAAAGTTATTTTAACTAAAATAAGTTTTTAACATTACAATGCCAAACTAAAAATGTTGCCCACACCTAAATTAAAAACATAATAAAATTTATCTATTTCCAAGGCCTTATTGTCTTAATCCTTTTGTAAAGTATTACTAATGCCAAAAGCATTTTATCATTTTCAATGCCAAAAATCATTTCATCATTCCCAAGCCTTAAAATCATTTCATCATTCAAGCAAATATTCGACCCCTGAGAAAGTGTGCTGAAACGTCTTTTTTAATTTTTGTATATAGACTTGCGTATAAACATTTAAATAAAAAATAATTTTCCTTTTCTTAAAAGAATAATAGTTAAATAAAAAAATAATAAAACGCAATTAATAACTTTAATAAACTCTAAAAAACAAAAGATTAAACAAGAAAAATAATTTAACTACTATAACTTTTTACATTTCAATGCATAACCAAAAATGTTGCCCACACCTAAATTAAAATTAAAATAAAAGTTATTTGTTTTCAAAGCCTCATTGTCTTGATCCTTTTGTAAAGTATTACTTATGCCAAAAGCATTTTATCATTACCAATGCCAAAAATCATTTCATCATTCCCTAGTCTAAAAATTATTTCATCATTCAAGCAATTATCTGAAATTCGACCTCTTAAAAAGTGTGCTAAAACCTTTTTCCAAAATTTTGTTTATAGACTTGCGTATATACATATAAATAAATAATAATTTTTTTTTTCTTAAAAGAATAATAGGTTTATAAGAAAATAATAAAAGGCAATTAACAACTTTGATAAACTCAAAAAACTAAAATTAAATAGGAAAAATAATTTTACTACTATAACTTTTTACATTACAATGCATAACCAAAAATGTTGCCCACACCTAAATTAAAATTACAATAAAAGTTATTTGTTTTCAAAGCCTCATTGTCTTGATCCTTTTGTAAAAAAATTCCAATCATAACTTTTATGGATATAGTAATAAAATATTATGAGTTTTGTTCAAGACCTGCTTTTATGCCGTCAAATTCTTTATTTATATTGGTTTCAATTGCATCTATAAATCGCGTAAATTTATACGCAAAAACATGTTATAATAGTTATTGTGTAACTTCAAAACATTTTCTTGTTGGCAAATAAAATCATCTTCGGACTAAATACGCAAATCAAAATAATAATAGTTATAGTACTAGTTAAGTTTATATAATAATATTTATATGTATATTTGTATAAATTATATATATTTATATATTTATATAACTTATATATTATATTAATTATTTTATATAAATATATATTTATATGAAATATATATTTATTTTTATAAATTATATAATAATAATATTTATTGTGTAACTTCGAAACATTCTCTTGTTGGTACTAGTTAAGTACTAGTCTTGTTGGTAAATGTATAGTACTAGTTAATTTTATATACGCAGTTTTCAAATAACAATAATAATTAACAAACGCTCAGCAAAAGCTAATGCTTTTTTTTACCCACCTGGCCGACTTATTGCATTAGACTTTAATTTGTGCAAATAATAATTGTTTTTTCAATTTAGAATAACGTCCTAAAAATATTGACTTTGGTATATATAGACAAGCAATTTACAAGCAATTAATATAATTTTTTTTTTTTTTTTTTAAATAATTTGAAAAATGTGAAAAAGCACATAAAACAACTACTCAAAAAAATTTAGACTAAATAAGAAAAGTTTTTTTAACTAAAATAAGTTTTTTACATTACAATGCTAAACTAAAAATGTTGCCTTCACCAAAATTAAGAACATAATAAAATTTATCTATTTCCAAGGCCTTATTGTCTAAATCCTTTTGTAAAGTATTACTAATGCCAAAAGCATTTTCTTTTTTTCAATGTCAAAAATCATTTCATCATTTTAAGGCTAAAACTTATTTCATCATTCAAGCAATTATCTGAAATTCGACCTCTTAAAAAGTGTGCTAAAACGTTTTTCTTAAATTCTGTTTATAGACTTGCGTATATACATATAAATAAATAATAATTTTTTTTTTCTTAAAAGAATAATAGGTTAATAAGAAAATAATAAAACGCAATTAACAACTTTGATAAACTCAAAAAACTAAAATTAAATAGGAAAAATAATTTAACTGATATAATTTTTTACATTACAATGCATAACCAAAAATGTTGCCCACACCTAAATTAAAATTACAATAAAAGTTATTTGTTTTTAAAGCCTCATTGTCTTGATCCTTTTGCAAAAAAATTCCATTTATAACTTTTATGGATGTGGTAATAAAATATTACTAGCTAGGGGGACCCGTAAAATACGGGTCTTTACCGAACCGACCATTTTTATACTTATCTATAGCTATCCGGACGTAAACTAAGGGTCTTAGTAAATCTATTCCACACCGACTTTTTCTATACTTATTCCTTACCTCAATATTTTTATAAAACTGTTTAAAAATGTACATATAAAAAACTATACTTACTTTTTGATATGACAAAAACATTTCTGTTAAAATGTTCTTTTAAAAACTTTAAACGATTTTAATATTATGCCGATTATAAAAATTTTAATAAGAAAAAACGTAAAAAAGACTACGAACTTAGAAAAATGCTAAAACATTCAACACGTGACAACACGTTAAAGTACGCCTTAGTTAACGTTCATAACATATACACATCTAATAAGATTTTATTTAAATTCAGTTGTTGCAAACTTGGTTTTGAATTTTTAATTACACTTCTTATGCGTCATAAATAGTCTTAAATTCTAAATAGAAAATACTTTTATGGGCTAATTGGTAGACGCGCAACATTTAGACAGATATAGTCATCTCACCCCGGGAGTTCATACTCCAGTGACCTTTTTTTTCATCCCAACTTACAACAAAAGTAATTAAAAATAAATGTTATTATTGAAATAGTTTTAAATATTTCTTCTTATTTATCTTTGAACTTAACTTTATTCACTGCAAACATACTTTTAGTGTTTGTAAGCGTTATTTTACGTTTAGTGTTTGTGGGAATTATTTGCACGCACGTATTTGAAACAATTATTTTTACTGTTTCATCTAAAAATCTTATTTAATTTAGTTTTATAATTTCTTAAATATAATATATATAATATAATTTAAAATATTTTATAAACCCTATTTAAATAAGTATCAAAACTCTTTTCTTTAATTTAAAAAGAATTTAAAATTAACGTAGGCTATAACGAAATTTTACCCTTTCATCAACATTTATTTAAAAAGTAAATTTGGATATAGAAAAACGGGTTAAAGACTTATTATTTTCGTAAAAGCGTTTCTTTAAAGACTCTTAACAATCATTCAAGCTGTTTTTACTGTCTAAGTTATTAAACTACTTAACTTTAAGTTATTAAACCTGTTGTGTGTGCCAAAAATCGAAACTTAATGCAAATGGAAACTTCGAGTGCTAATGGTGATTAAAGCATAAATGGTTTCTATTCATATATAATAAAAGGAAATATAAAAGACAAAGCAAAAATGATTTTTATATCCATTTAAAACAATAAATCCCAAAATAAAAAAATATAGATATTTACTTAAAAACATATTTTTCTTGATATAAAATAAAAATATAACCTTTAGTACAAATTACAAAAAAAAATTTTATTCAACAGAGCTACTTATAATACAATTTAAATTGAATCATTGTTTCATAAATATTACGCTTTAGGTTAGCCATAATCAAGTCAGCTATAAGAAACGGAACTAAAAATGGAACAAAGTTATTTAAACGCATAATCATACACATTAATTACAAATTAACATGTCATGCAATCAATACTTTTAAAAACACAAAAATGCGAATAAGAAACTTACTTTTTTATTTTTACCTAACCCTGACAGACCAACATGAATGTGAGCTAAATCTATTTGCATAAAACATCACAACAATTAATTAAATAGCAGAACCACCTCCAAAGGACAAAAAAATTAGGAAAATTAGAGTTATTGGGAGGGGAGGTATTAATAAATAAAAAAGCTTAACTTGAATTTAAAAATTAGTTCATAGTTTTGTTAAGGGTTATTGAGTTATTCTGAGTTTATTATACATATTTTAAACTACTGACACCACACACTTATATTCTTAGTTCTGGAAGGTGCTAGATAGAATTTGATTGTGTGAAAACCAAATCCCTTTGAGATTAACATTAACTTTATCAAATGTATGACCGTGACTTTTATTTCTAGTTAATGAGCATTGTTGATAAAGGTGTCTTTATTTAAATGATTTACTTTGATAACATTTAACATTCATGGGAAAAATAAAAAACAACACAAAAATTAATTTACAAAAATATATTACAAAAAAAAATGAAGTGGCTCAAAAGTTGTCAATTTCTTTACATTTTAATATGTAAAAAAATTATTGACAACTTTTGCGCCACGTTGTCTTCTCCTCCCAGCATCCGCTCCGCTCTATTCCCCGTGTTGTATGGGGTGCCATCCCTCCATCTAAAGGAGGGATGGTCGTCCCCATACAAACACCAGCGATGGAAGGCCCTCATAGATAGAGGGCCTGGATGCTGGGAGCGATACTTTCTGAATTCTTCCCATGACTTCGAGCCTGAAAAAAAAATTATATACAAATACAAAAATCTACCAAGGTAATACTTACAAAAAATCTACTGTAAAAAAAACAATAAAAGCAAATAATGTAATAAATTAAGTACAAGTGAGCACAACAACTTATTTATTTTACTCACTAATACTTTACTTATTTCATTAACTAATTAAACTGGAAAGCACATTTGTAGCTATATTAAAAAACAAAAGGTACAATAAAAGCAATCAATCAATGTAATAAGTCAAGTAAAGGTGAATATAACAACTTACTTGTAACAGAAGAAGCAGCAGCTAGAGATAAATAAAAGAAAATTAAAAATGCAATAAAACCAATTAATCCATAAATTAAGTCAAGTATAAGTGAATAGAACAACTTACTTGTAACAGAAGAAGCAACAGCAAGAGATAAATAAAAGAAAATTAAAAATGCAATTAAAACAATCAATCAATGTAATAAGTTAAGTAAAAGTGACTTACTTATAACAGAAGAAGCAGCTAAAGATAAATAAAAGAAAGTTAAAAATGCAATAAAACCAATTAATCCATAAATTAAGTCAAGTATAAGTGAATAGAACAACTTACTTGTAACAGAAGAAGCAGCAGCTTGAGATAAATAAAAGAAAATTAAAAATGCAATAAAAACAATCAATCAATGTAATAAGTCAAGTCTAAGTGAGTACAACAACATACGTTACTGAGGAAGTTGGATTTGTCACTATATAAGTGATTACATTATATTATTTATTAAAACTTTTATGAGACATAAAACATAATATAGTTACTTACAAATGTAGTTTAAAATGATATCTAAAAAAATTGACCAAAAAGTACAAAGTCCAAAACTAATCTCAAATTGAAAAAACGCATTTAATATTAGATGTACATAAATAATTAGGGTGTATAATAAACATAAAAGCAATTTTACTCACTTTTGTAAATCTTCTAATTTTTATAAATAGATGAACAAATTACTAAAGCCAACCTCATTATTTTTTATTTAATATACATAAAAGTAATATAATGAAATTTTGCTTACTAACTCTACTTTCTAAATTTTCTCTATAAACAAAATGTGTGAAAGATTAGTTCATAAATTTATTTACTGTAACATAAACTTCGAAAAAACTGAAGTAAAAAAGAAAAAATTTAAAATGCTAACTTTGATTATCGAAGATTTCTTTAAAATAAGGCAGAAAAGACTCTGTCTCTTCTGCCATTATCTCCTGCGCATCTAAGATATACACACAATACAATATATACATTTAGCATATCATATGATAAAGCACAACATCTAGTCTAGAAAATATAATAATCACAACATCTGGTCTAGAAAATAAATTCCAAGTTTCTAGTTGAAAAACACATAAAGATTTTTTTCTTATTTAAAGATTTGAATTTTACAGGAAATTTCACAATTAAATAGCTGCGTGTATATAACTATATAACTATTACCAACAATCAAATTTCTATTAGTATACAAATATTTGATAAAAAATATGCTACTGATTTCTCCATACTTGAAATAAATTTTTTATAACTATCACTTTATATAAATAAAAATTGTTTACTTCTAAAGAAATTATAGTTTACTTACTTCTAAAAAAGTCACCATCATCGTCTAAAAAGAGAATTACTTGATATTTTTATTTATTTCCAATAAATAATATATGATAGCAGTGCTTATTTTGTCTATCAACACTGTTTATAAGAGTGTAAATTGTTTGTCTATTTATATTTATATTTTTATATATGCGTACTAAATAAAGTATAGCGTTTGTGCTGTATACGCATATATTAGATATATATAGATATAATATCTAATATAGGCGCATATAGCACTAACACACATATGCAATAAATACATAACGTTTAAATTTTCTTGTGTGTTCATTTCTAAAATAAAAAGTAAATATTTATTCTCAATTCTTACACATATTCTTAAGTCTAATTTCACTTCAAATCATAAAAACTTAATTTGAAGATTTTAGATATTCAAAACAGTAACTCACTCAGATTCTAAAACTATAAGAGAGTTATAATAAGCGCGTGGCTGTCTTTTGAGTTGTTTAAGCATCTAGTTGGCTTGCAAAATGTAATCTTTAATCGCTTATATTTCTTTAGATTTTAAAATACGCTGTTCGAAAATCGGATTTGGAGTATTTAGAATTATGTAATTTATGCAAACAAAAAGAAGGGAAATTCAAGGGTTGCAAGACGTCCGGCTTTTATGAAGAAGAAAGCAGTAAAAGAACTGAACTGTATATGTTTGGGACTATATTCTACTCTGTAAAAGCCGGTCATTTGGCAAACCTAAGTTAAAATGATGTTACACATTACAAAGAGACAATATAGTGAAAGCAATATCAGCATTTCCATGTATATCAGGAAATTGGAATCCTGTGTTAAAGCGAGTCATTGTGTGATAGTTCTTTTCAAGTTGTTTTTGCTGCTTTTTGAAACTTAAATTACAATTATAAAATAAAATGAAAAAAAGACATCAAATATAAATACTGGAAAGTTTTCATACTGTTTTAATAGACCAATAGAAAAATTTATCGATGAAAACAAAGTTTTCATCGATAAGACCCGCAGTACTCCTACAACACCACACTAAAACAGTTTCTCTACCACACATAACATTTTCTACTATTCCTAACATAGTTGTTATTGGTGACTAAAATTAGAAGAGCATAAGATTTTTTTTTCACTTAACAAAATAAGAGTTATAGATTTTTCTATAACTCTAACTAAAATGCTACAAAAGAACTCGGTTTCCAGTAAAACGTTTTTCGAAAATAAATAGAAAAAGCTTTGTTTTTTATTGTGGTGTTAAATCGAATGAAACAATAATTGTTTATGGATTAAGTAATAAAGGTCCGGTAACTTTATTTACCTAAGACAATTCGTAATTTATTTTTCTGCCATACACTAAAAAATATCGAAGTAAATGGTTGGTGTGAATTAAGTTTTTATGATGCCTAAGTATGCGTAATTTTTCCACATACTTTTGGTTTATTAGAATCGTATATTTATATCATATGCCAATATTTTGATGATTCGAAAAAAAAACTTTGAATTGAAGATTTTTAAGGTATTTTAAGAAATAACGCCATCAAACGTAGTGATGAGCAGATTCGAAAATTACGTGGACCTAACAAAAGAGTATTTAACATAGTTACCAATTACGTGACATTTCTCCCAGTGTTTTGGCAAACTTTTTTCTAAAATTTAACCTTACCTATTTAAAAAGGAGAAGTATTTGACAAAGAATCAGGTGACGAATCCTAATTATGTCAAAAATTAGCTCTATTTGTTTGAAAAGCAAATTTTCTACAATAAACTCGCAACAAATTTTTCTAAATGTTTATAAATTAGCAAATTATTAAACTACTATAGCTATTATTTGTACTGAAAATTTGTAAAATACTTAATGGGAATGGAACTATCTAGATCTGTAATTACCATGGTAATAAAAGTATTAACGGTTTCCATTCATATATAACGGAGATATATATAAAAAAAGCAAAATGAGCAATGTATCCATCAAATACTATAATTCCAAAGAGAAAAAATTTACAAATTTGTGTGAGAAACAAAAAACATTTTTCTTAAGATAAAATTAAAAAAATAATTTTTTTTTTTTAATTTTACAATATCTATTATATATAACATAAAAAGTATCAGAAGTACTTTATAAAATCAATTTGAATTGTTTCCCTATAATATATCTTTTAGTAAATGGTATAAAGATTAACAAAACTTCCCTTTGGATGTTAAAATACGATCAACATTAAGAGAAGGCATTCGAACTAAAACAAAACAAAATTATTGAAAACATAACACATTAATGTACTCTTTTATTTAAAAACTCAAAAGTGTGACCAAGGCGATATCAAATAAGAAACTTACTTTGAGATTGTTTTTTTTGTGTGAATAGGTTTTGTGTAAAGGTTTCAAGATTTTTTGTTGCAAGTTTCGATTATAAACTCTTTTCAAAAAAAGCACACTAAAAATAATCAAAAAAAGATTAACCCCAACAGTTTAATATAAAAATTGAATGCTTGGCTTTTAGTGAATGATTATATATAGTCAGTTTCAGTATGAAACAACCCTATAATCATTTTTAACGATAGACACCGACGTGAAGGTAAGCCAAGTCGTCTATCAACACAAAACATCACAACAGTAAAATCACAAACATCAATAACAAATAGCACAAAATCTTACAGTAAAGACTCAATAACTTAAACCACCAAAGGATCAAGCAATTAGATTATTAGAAAATATTTCAGTTAGTGGTAGTATGATCCATAAACAATCGCTCAACTGGAATTTTAAAATTAGTTTGATTTATTTAAGTTGATTTATTGAGTTATCCAGACTTTATTGTAAATACTTTATTTACTAACAGCATAACATACTTGCAAGTACACATTTTGTGATTACAAACAGATTTTATTATGTGTTTCATGTCAGTACGCCGCTTGGCTAGCAAGGACAACACTCTTGCCATAAACAAAGCCAAGTCACACCACTTTGAAACCATGAAAACAACATAATAACAACTCACAAACTATAAACAGATAACAACAAAAAATACACTTCATATGTAACAGCCATTTACACATTAATTACACATAAATACTTACAAAATATAACATACTTATAAGTACACATTTTGTGATTACAAACAGATTTTATTATGTGTTTCATGTCTGTATATCACTTGGCTAGCAAGGACAACACTCTTGCCATAAACAAAGCCAAGTCACACCACTTTGAAACCATGAAAACAACATAATAACAACTCAAAAACTATAAACAGATAACATAAAAAATACACTTCACATATAACAGTCATTTACACGTTAGTTACACATAAACACTTACAAAATATAACCTTAACACATATTTAAACACATAATAAATATCACACATTACTGCATCAAGCAACACACAAAAATACTTTAAATTACAGTTAAAATATTTATAAGAAATGAGGAGTTTAATTGTAAAAAATTAATTATTTTTGATTTAGTACATTGGTAAATACAACATTGTTTGTGTAGCATTTGTTAAATGACATACCTTGTAATGAATGCTCATCAATTTTAAAAAATAAGGTATTTAACGATCTTGTTCTTGAACATGCAACATAGAGTTGACCATGTGAAAAGCAAGGGTTTTTGAGATAAATACCAACTTTGTCAAAAGTTTGACCTTGACTTTTATTTATGGTCATTGAGTATGCTAATCTTACAGGAAATTGACGACGCTTAAGAGTAAAAGGTAAATTTGAATCAGATTGTGTTAACTGAACCCGAGGGACAAATACCCTCTTGCCAACTGAAACACCTGTTAGAACTTGCCCATCAATGTAATTATTTTGTAGAGCACGCACTATCAATCGGGTACCATTGCAAAGTCCAGCTTTTAGATCTAAATTTCGAAGTAACATTATAACAGCACCAATTTTTAGCTTTAGTCAATGAACAGGCATTCCTGATGGAGTAAGACTGTTTAAAAACTCAACAGGAAAATTATTGATTTCGTTAAGATCATCTGTTTCAATAGTATCAGCACTTAAATAAACCTTAACGTCACCTGGTAAACGGTCCAAAACTTCTTCATTTATTGCTAAAGAATCAACATTATTGGGTGTCAAAATGGCACGTTTAGCATAATCATCTTCTTCTGCAACTCCAAAAATCTTGTCTACTAAAGATTCATTTTCTCCAAGCAAGCATTGCTCAGGAATCTCAATGCACCCGCGAAAGGAACCATCTGCTTTTAAAGGTAATGTTCCACTACCAAATTTTAAAAGCCATTGAGAGAATTCCTCTTCTTCGGCCTGAACCCTCATATTTTCTGTTAATGAAAATCGCTGAACATATTGCCAATGTTGAGAACATTTTAAACAGGCTTCAACAATATCAGCTGGTTGCCCTCTCTTTACAACCGGAAGTATTTGCCTAAAATCCCCACCCATAAGAATAACTTTACCACCGAAAGGAAACTTGTTATTGCAAACGTCTTGAAGTAACTTATCAATGGCATTTAAAGCATGTTTAGGTATCATGGATGCCTCATCTTGTAAATAAAGGCTAACTTGCCTCAAGAATTTTCCGTGTATAGAATTTGGAGTTACATTGCATGTGCTATTTTCCAAAATCGGCACAGGAAGTTTGAACAAACCATGAAGTGTACATCCTTTTTTTAAAAGAGTTGCAGCTATTCCTGTCCATGCAGCTGTTGCAGTTATAATATGTCTACTGCTGGTTTCAGCGATTAAATAATTGTATGTCAATGTTTTACCACAACCTGCAGGGCCATCCATAAAAAACAATCTAGACTGCTTGTTTTCATTGTTAGGTTGCTCACTAAGAGCAGAAAGGATAGCATCAGCAATTTGACGCTGATTATCATTTAACAATGGTATAACCCTATTTGCTTCATCAATTAAAACCTGAACATCTTCCTCTTCATTTTGTGGGACATAATCTAAAAACTCATCTAAAGTAGGAAGATTAAAATCAGCTAAAGTCTTACCATTCTGATTAATTATAGATTCAATTTGACGCAAAGCTGCCTGCTCAGCAATTATTGGTGGCATGGAATGGTGAATGTAATACTCCATCATAAAATCTTTAAAGGCATTCCAAAGATTTAATGGATCATCAGGTTCACAGAAAGTCAAAATAATGGAAAACAACTGTCTAATTTGATTTGGCAACCGAGTTGCAGCAGCCTCAGTTAATGTATTTTTCATTCAGCGTCGTCTTGTAACAGACCTAATTGAGAACATGCTTCTCGGAATGTATTAAAAACTGTACTATTAACAGTACGCAAATCTTCAAAAGAAACTGCACCTCTAACATGCAAAAGTAACATTCTAAGATAAAATATTTCACCTATTGGACTCACTTTATACATCCTAACAATCACCTTATTGCTACCTCTTTGCCTAACTTTCCATTTACAATGTTTGCTATCAAAAACAAAGTGGTAAGGAATTTCAACATATGGATAGTGTCGGGCTTGTTCATTTTCAACGTTTAATTTAAACCATGCAGTTAGGTGAGTGTCACGCTGTGCTGCACGGTCTAAAGCTGCCTGTTCTTCGCCTTCTACAAAATATATCATCTGATTATCTGGCAGATGAACCTGAAGTCGAATGATGTTATGTGACATATCACTTAAAGAATACTCAAATATTCGTCACAATGCTTCTGGAGCTGAGACATAGCGACAATTTAAAAACGTGTTTATTTCATCATGGTTAACTTGCTCATTTATCACCACATTGGCACAGTCATGCCCTATGTAAATGTACTTATATAAATACTTAACTGACTTTATGGTCATGCAGGCTTCAACATTTATGTGTGCTTGATATTTTTTAGAAAGCCAGGGGTTATAAGGTACAACCGAACGGTTGTCAACTTGATTACCTTTTATATTTACAATTCTTCCATTATCGACACGCCTATAGCGTGGATAACCATTAAAAATTGCAACAGTGTGGGGATTAAATTCCTTAGGAAATTTTTTTGTGCATTTACCATCTTTCATGAAGGGAGAATTGGGATTTAAAATTCCACATGGTCCATGTATCATGCATGATTTTATAATTTCAAAAAGTTCAGGATCAACAGCTGGGTCTGGGATTTCTGCTGATATCAAACTATCAATATCTTCTGCTGTTTCTAGCTTATCAGCATTTACTAAGTGCAATAAAATATGTACATGTGGCAAACCACGCTTTTGAAACTCAATAACCTGCACATGACTTACAACTTTGCCTAAGACTCCATGCTTAAAAATATCCTCTAAGAAAAATTTAAGTTTCATTTTAAATACCCGACAAACTAAATCAGGTCTGTCATTTTGGCCTGGGTTTAATTTTTCTACTATTTCTCTCCATTTTGAATTGCAGGTAGAAGTCATGAATAGATCTGGTTTTCCATATTTCTTTATGACTGCCATCGCAACTTCAAAGTTTTCTTTTAATGCTCTTGGACTACCAACATATGAAGAAGGCAAAATAACAACACGGCCTGGTCTTACATTAAGATCATAAGCACGATTAATTACATGTTCATGCAATGCATCATATTGCTCACTTCTAAGTTTGTTTTGATTATTTCTAATAAAAGCAAGGCGCTGTCCCTCAACTTTGACATATGCATCAACAACATATTGCTGAAAAAGTTTCTTACCATAGAATATAGGACTAAAAGTTTGTCTAACAGCAAGCCTATAATTATAATACTGAGTCAAAGTAACATGGTTTCTAACACGGGTTGCACGGTCAGGGTTGTGCTCAAGTTGATTGTGCCATCCAGCATCACCTCTCGGGAAGAATAATGGATATACCAAAGGATCCAAATTTGCAGATATAGACGAAATTGTTCTCAAAGGCTGACCTCGAGGGTATATAACAATTTTCCTGGATGCAGGTGGAGCACCATCATCTCCCACAAACACAATAGCAACTTCCTCATGGGAAGGAAGATTGTATCGACGTTTATCATGACCTTCAAGTAAAGACATTCTTACAACAGAGGTTGGTCTTCCTTCTAAAGCTGCTTGGCGGATTTCTTCATCCTCTACTTCTGCCATGTTTTTAAATGCAAGAGCAAATGGGTTTTCTTGATTAATTAATGTTTGCAAGAGTTGCATTAACTCATGTATACAACCATCGTTACCAGGTTGTTCCATTCTGAATGACACTGCTGCATTAGGATCATAGATATACAGCTGACAATATTTGGGCAGACAACCTTCTGCAGGCCTTAAATTTCCAACACGATGCAAAATTTGCCCACAGACCCTAAAACAGAAAGGGCCATTATTTGAGGGAGGAGCTATTTTGGCAGTGAAGGAAGCAAAAGATAAAGAGGAATTATAACTCCTTTTGTGTTAAAAAAAATTTTGATTTACAGCATGATCAACATGGTTTCCTGACATTAAACCAGTCAACAATGGCGGATAAAGAGAAAGAGGAGCTAATACAACTTTTCCTGAATGGCAGCACAAAAAATGAGTTTCATTAAAAACTTCTTTGCACTGCAATACTGACAATTATGGTTTAATTCTCCGAGGTAGTTACTCTCTATAGCAATATTATTTCTTGCTATCTTAATAATCTTTCAGTGCTTAGCTTTCATCTTCATATTTTCCTTTCCCTGGCATCGTATGGTAGTACATACCATTGGTAAAAATTTTTGTTGGGACAATTGATTTAATGCTACTAGGCACTTGTTCCTTTGGTTTTGTAAGTACTGTCTTAAAAATGAGCTCTCTCTGTGTCAAGGATTAGGCTTTTCTGAATTCATGGTTGATGGTCTTTATTTAGTATCTCTTTACTATCAGTGTCGATTTGTAGGGCGTGATCCATCGACATTAGCCTGAATAGTCGTAATTTTATTTCTTCTAATTCATTAAGGGTAGCACTGAATAAAATGAACACGTCTTCAATAAATCTTTTATATTGGTTGATGTTATTTTTATATTTTTGGACGATATTTTGATCTAGGGCCAATGCTATAAATAATTCGAAGTTTTTTTCGAGAAAAAAAATCTATCTTAAAAACGCAATATTTTGTGTAAATTATTTTTACGTAAAAAAAGACGTAAACACGAAGAATTTATTCGGCCAATGCTATAGAGTATAAAACGTATACGTCACTTAAATTCACAATTTTAATTTATCCGTAAACGTCATTGATAACAACAATTTTTTTTAATTACTATTATGCGTTGCCTATTTAATAATTTTTATTAGTTATTAAGTAGGCTGTGCTGTCTATTCCTCTTCTATAAATTTTTGTACATTCTACTATTTGGTGTTTAAAAGAACTGTGTAAAATTATAATATGAACATAGATTTAGTTTTTTCGGATGAAGACTTAGATTTGGAAATTGCAGAAAATGAGCTTCGCCACCGATTGCCTCGAGAGGTTGGTGTTTAAAACATTACTTAAAATTGACAAATTTCGATGTTTTTTTAACTAAATTAGAAAACATACTAAATGTACGCAGAAATAATATTTTTGTTTTGTTTTTCTATTCCATTTTAGTTTATTGGTCGCTTTTTTAACGAAGATGTTTCTGACAACGTTTTTCGAGAGCAGTATCGAGTCCCAAGAGCTGTATTAGATTTTTTAGAAACTAGGCTTAAAGATGATTTGCAACATTACACTAAGCGAAATAAAAGTATTTCAGTACGTTTCCAGATAATGGTATTTCTTCATTTTATCGGCACAAATGTTTTTTTTCATGTTCTCAGAGACTGTCATGGAATCTCTACCAACACAGTTTATCGTATTATACACAGTGTAGGAGAAGCTATTTTCAATGTAATGTGTATTAAGTTAATAAAACAAGTGAAATTTATACGTTGTCATATAAAGTTTTTTATTACTTTTATTTTGGTAGGTAAATTATAAACTAAGTTGAGTAAAGGTAAAAGTTGATATCTTTTCAATTTAGATTCGACAAGAGATCATAAAATGGCCCAATGATTGCTCCACTCTTCCACAAAAGTTTATGGAAATTGGAGGTTTTCCTAGCGTATGTGGTGTCCTGGATGGGTCTCATATACTCATTTCTAACCCTCCTAACGCAGACGAAGATTCTCTAATCAATCGCCATCATGTCCATAGCATAAATGCAATGGCTGTATGTGGACCCGACACATCCATATTTTATGCATCAACCAACAGTCCAGGAAGGTGGCATGATGCACACGTAAGTCTTTTAATAAATTATATTTTACATCTGCTAGTGCACTAATGCTGGCTATTCAACTAGTACGTACTTCGGTATATTCATATTTAAACATACTATTCGAACTATTATTGCTAATTAAGACTAATAAAACTAAGACTGATATGTATTTTAATGTAACTTAGAGTAAATTTAAATATTGTGATTTTACCACTATTAGGTTCTAAGAAATTGTAACCTATGGAACAAGTTTGAAATTGGAGAGCTTCCATTTAATGGAGCTGTAATTTTGGCTGACTCTGCCTACCCATGCCGAGAATGGTTAATTCCACCTTTTCCTAGTGATCTAGGCAGAGCTCAAAAACGTTTCAACATAGCACAGAGAAAAACTAGAAACATAATCGAGCGGTGTTTTGGCATTATAAAAAACAGGTTTTATGCTTTGAAAACGGGAATTCGTTTGCACAAGGTCGAAGATGCCTCTAAGCTCATCATGTGTGGATTTGTTATCCATAACTTGTGTATTCGACATGGAGACAACGGTAATGACTTTGAAGAACGCATAGAAGAACAAGTTGATGAAAATATATTTCAAGAAAATCAGAATGATATCGCTTTGAATAGACGATTACAGCTACTTTACAACTTTACTTAAAAATATTATTTAAAAAAACTTTTGTCAAATGCAAGATATTTTATAAAAATTAGATCATAAAAGCATTTTATAATTGTTTTTTAGTATTTGTATTTTGTTTTTTTATAGAACAAGCTTAAAAAAATAATAGGTTTGTTAGTTTTTGTTGTTAAGAGCAATTCTTATTAAGAGTATTTTAAAAAGATAAAAATTGCTTAACAGCATAATATTAAGATAAACGATCGAATTAATATTAAACTAAAATATAAATTAAATTTAAAATATGAAAGATATTGTACCAAATATCTGGTATATACATACAATATTCTTAAGTTGAGTGCTGAGTACTCGAAAAAAAGGGTTGAGAAAGGGAATTTAGAGGTAAAGGTAAAAGTTATTAGAACTACTTTCTTTAAATTATAAAATCGTTTACTAGCCAATGCGATACCATAAATTGAACTCGCTATTTAAATGCGGTAGTGGTATAGTTGTAATGCTTGTATCTATTTCACATCGCAACAGCATTGGTTTTAATGCAGTTTTTACAGAATTTATTACTGTAAGGCAATGGTGATAAATAATAAATACAATAACAATTGTTGGAGTTATTTTTTTATTTTCTTTAAAAAAATCTACAGTTAAATACCTTCAAAGTAAATGTTTAAATATAGTTATACAATATCTTTCGAAAATTAACATAAAATTACGATATAGCTCTTCCCTTAATGCTCTAGAATTTCCTCCTAAAACAACAAAAATAATTTATAAAATTTATTAATTATAAAGTTTGATACTAAATACTACAATAAATTAATTTTAAAATACCGTTTCTATATTTTTAAAATGTTGCTGGTTTAAAGGTTGCAATTTGTCATTCATTAGCTTTGTTGCTGTTGTGTAATATATTGTTAAAGCTTTTTCTTTTCGAATTTGCTGTTGTCTGTGAGCAACGTCCAATTTCAAAAGTTTAATTCTTAATTCTTGTTCCTTTTCTAATCTTTCTTTTTCTAACCCTAAAACACTAACTTTCAATTTTTTGAAATTTCCATCTACCAAGAGACTTTCTCGAGCTTGTTTTCTTTTTAAATTTTTTAATGTCGCTATTGATGGTTTATTTTGAGTTGAATCTAAAAATTGAATTATAGGTGTCAAAACCAGATCAGTTAATTTAAATAATAAAAAAGATGGTTTAGATTCCTTTAAAAATAAGCAGTTTTTGATGTGATGTGAAATAATTTGGCACAAATTGTGAAAAAAAAACAACTAGAAATTGTATTACCTTGAAGCATTGGACGACTATCACCAACAAGAGTGGTATTGTCTAAATGAGGGGAGGAGGAGGACATACGATCAAATCGTGTATCTAAAATAAATAATTAATTTGTATATATATATATATATATATATATATATATATATATATATATAAAATCTTATAACACCACTAGTCAACCAAAAAATAAAGATATACCAGACAAAGAAGCTGTATCAGAAGATTGTTTCAAAGTAAAGTTTACTTCTTTACTTGATGGGGAAAAGATGGCTGTGGAACTGGAAAGTTGGTTGGTAGTAGATGACAAAGCATCATCTTTTGTACAAAAAGAGATATTAAAATCTGGAACATCAATTCCAGATACATTTATAGACTTCCTGTCAACAATGTCTAAAACAACATTATCTAACTCTGTAAGTTGTCTTCCTGCAGCACCTTAAAAAATATATATACATCTACATATATTTGTAAATTTTATATACAAATATATATACAAAAATATTTAATTACATATGTGATTATTTTAAGAACATTGAGCACTCTATTTTATATAATACATTTATAATTGTTGTTAAAATATATATATATATATATATATTTATATATACATAATAAAACTAAACCTGTTTTTAGACTTTTAGCAAATTTTTGTATTGTGGCTCGTCGTAAATAATCCCACTCTCTACTACGTAGCTGGTTAATATCTTCAATTTTAGCCCCTAGACAATTTAAACTTGACAGTATTTCTTCCCAAATTCCATTTCTATGCCTCATAGTAACACATGGACCTAAAATTGAAAGAAAAATATCAATAAATTATAAATAGTCAATACATTTTATATAGTAAAATAATAAATATGATATATATATATATATATATATATATATATATATATATATATATATATATATATATATATGTATATATATGTGTATATATATATATATGTATGTATATATATATATATATATATATATATATATATATATATATATATATATATATATATATATATATATATATATATATATATATATATATATATACATACATATATATTCATATATATATATATATATATATATATATACATATAAATATATATATACATATACATAAATATATATATATATATATATATATATATATTTATGTATGTATATATATATATATATATATATATATATATATATATATATATATAAATATAAATATATATATATATGTATGTATATATATAGATATATATATATATATTTATATATATATATAGATATATATATATATATATATATATATATATATATATATATATATATATATATATATATATATATATATATATATATATATATATATATATATATATATATATATATATATAAATATATATATATATCCATATATATCTGTATATAAATATATATATATATATAAATATATATATTTATATATATATATATATATATATATATATATATATATATATATATAAATATATATAAAATATAACATAATACATTTATACAAATTTTTATTTAAACAGTTTGCTAATTAAAACATACTAAGTTTCCCAAGAAGAACCTCTTTGTTATCTCTGATCTTCATTGCTAGTAACATTTTAAGTTCTTTAGACAGCATTTTATCTTGTTGTGTATTTGTGCATTATATAGATTATTTGTCGACTATTTATACATTTCTTCAGTCAAACATTGTGAAAAATGTGGTTAACCAAAATTACTATCGAAAGCCTACATAAAAAAGTATGGAATGTTAAATAAATGCATGCATTGTTAACGACACACAAGGCGGTACTGAAATATCGATTTAATGTAATTTATAAGTAATTAGTTTATTATGGAGTTACCAAAATGCTTTTCAGTTTTATCTAAAAATATCCACATATAAACACAAATAAATAATGTTAAATGATTCTGAATTGCTTACGTTGTTATAAGAATGGCGCTAAAAATCACGAAGAAATATCTAATATTGAGATCAAAAATCTATCTGAAGTTTTTTTTCGAAAAAACGCATTTTTTATCTGAAAAAGCGATTCCCTTGTTCGTTTATAACATTGGATTATATAGCGAAGTTTTTATCTTAAAAACGCAAACTTTTAAATGTTTATAGCAATGGACTTTTTTTTTCTTTGTTTTTTCCGGGAAAAACTTCGTGTTTTACGGGAAAAACTTCGTTTTTTATGTTTATAGCATTGGCCCCTAGTTCCCCCAAAAAGATATTAGCGTATGGGGGGGGGCATCCTAATATCCATAGAAGTTCCGAATTTCTGGTGGAAGATCCAAAGGTCCAAACATGAAAGGTCCAAAACATGAAAGAGCTGTTGTCTAAAATTAACTTCAATAGTCTGCAAAAATGATCAATGGGTAATATAGGTGACAGATTATCTGGACATATGATTGAGTTCCAATTATTAATATTGAAGTTCCTCACTGCATTTATCCCGTCGTCATGGGGAATATTTTTATACATAGTGACTACATCGGCTGTAATTAACATGTTATTCATTTCTGGTAACGGGATACCACATAAAATCTTTAAAAGCTCTGTTGAGTCCTTCAAGTATGACGGTAGAGATTTAGACATTGGCAGTAGGTGTTTTACTACATATTCAGAGATTTTATTGGTGGGGCCATCGCATCCAGAAACTATTGGTCTTAACGGTGTATCCAATTTATGCAATTTGGAAAGACCATAGAAGAGCAGGGTCCTAGCCTCAATTAAGGGGAGCATGGTTGTGATTTAATTCTTCGTAAGTGTCTTTATTTTCTAACATATTGAGTAACTCGCCTTCGTATTCAAGGACACAAATACTTCCACCTTTATTCGTTTTCTTAATGATAATATTCCAATCTCTCTTGAGTTTTTTTAGTACTAAAAACTCTCCCGGTTTTATGTTCGTAGTGTCTTTGTGTTTGTTATCCTTCGTTATTCTTTAAGTTTGGCTTTAAATTATGGAGAAGAATCTCCTCAGTTTTGTGTTTTTGTCGACTAGTGGCATCCAACTTGGATTGGGTCTTATGAATTGGTTATTAGACTTATTATTGTTATTATTTTGTTCATTAATGATATTGTTTCTGCCTAATTTTCTTTTCTGAAAAAAACATTTTACAGTAGATTTTCTTTTCAACTTCCTAATTTGTTTCAAAAAGATTAAAAGTCGGTTAGTAGTGGTTTTACATTCCATTTCAACCCTCTTTCCATTAGTTCCAATTCGTTATCTTCTAGATGTTTTTTTCAAAGATTCGTGATTGACTTATCTCGCATGTTTCTTTTTGTTTCATTAATTGATATCGTAATAAGTTTTCTGCATTCACTTTTGACTCTTGTTGTTGCTTGAGGTAGGAAAAGTTTTTTGTGTGTAAGTATGCATGGTTGTCGATTCACATCACTCGCAATATAAGAATTTTCGGCACGGTAAGGTCTGTTGTGTAGATGCTAGGCTAGATGGTATAGAAAAATATATAAAAAAGTATATAGTATTAAGGGGAGTTTCAAACATGCATATATATCCTCATACAGCTATACTCACCTAGCTTCAACCAAAATGGTAATGTACACCCTAATTCAGTAAAACACTGATGGGTATACAATATACATTCTAGTCCTAACAAGCATATAAAAATATGTACGCTCACCGCATCAGAAAGTATAAATAATGCATAACATAACAACAAATAATTTTCAACACATCTATAATAAAATCAGAAAAAATCTAAATAAAGTACATTCTGTGTGGATTACCAGTCTTTACATAATATAAAAAGTAAAGAATAAGGGTGCCTATTAAATGATATAAAGTAATGAGACAAACCAAACAAGGTTCCTTAAAACTAAAGTATATTCTTGAAATAAATAATACAGGTAAGCTATGTCGGTTAACATTTTTGTTAAAAGTAATATGTCCGTGTTGTGTTTGTGGACTTTTGTACCCTTATCAAAAGCTTTGCTGCCCTCCTTTCGCTTCCTTTCTCGATTATTATATTATGAAGTCTCAGCTCGTACTTTAAAACAAATTTTGTTGTTCTGTGTTCTGGAATAGGTAAATTTCGGGTTAGTATTATCTTTTAGGTATTTGATGAGCTCCACCGCTGTTTTTTTATTGAAGCAGCTCTCTTTATGTTTGTGGGTTTTTCCTATTTTCTCTATATCCCCAGATTCTGTCACTATTCTTTTTTCGTAATAGAACTTAGTGGTTTATTGCTTAAGGTGGTTATCAGGTAAAAAAATTATTTTTTGATTGCCAACTTAATCATATACCAAAGTTAGTTTAAAAGAAACATACTTATTAATATAATTAAAAATGATAAAAAAAAAATAATTTCCTTTTTTTTTTTGCTGAATCAGCATAAAATGCAAAAAAATCAATGAAAAAAGAAAACAACATTTTCTCAGCCTCTTTATGACATTATAAGCCAAAACTTACAACACTGATAGATTATAGTGTATTAAACAAAAGCTTACTAGAAAAACTAAAAATAATTATTATTTTTAAAATGGCAGCTTTTTCAATTTTAACGGAAATTATTGATACAAAAAAAAAAGGTAAAATATGAATATATTCAAATGGAAACAAGCTTAAGATTAGTTCTAGTAAGCTATTGCAGTTCTATCTATAAAGAAACAACCCTGAAAATTTGAACTCAATTGCATATCTGGTTAAAAAGATATGAATGATTCGCTTATTGCAGTCAGGCAAAAACAAACAATTGAGAAATCAAGCTTCAAAGTTTAAAAACAATTTATTAATTAAAAATTTCCTGTAATATAAGAGTCTACTCCCTCTTTTTCTTTCTCCTTATCAATATAACCCTTCCTGATACATCTCCTTTTCCTTCTAGCCCTTTTTTGCTTTGGAGTTGAATTTTTAATCGTGTTCTTTACTCTTGATACATCCTTCTTCCACGATCCTTGGATCATAAAACTTCCAGGCAAGAGCTGCAAATAATCAAAAATTCTTGTGAAACCTCTCAAACCATCATTGTAATTTATTACAGCTGAAGGCTGTTGCAAAAAAACCTCAGCTGTTTTCTTAGTATATCTATTACCTTGAAAAACTCGTTTAACTTTTCTATTTTTAAAACTTTTATTCTTTGCCATAATAAAACTTTTTTTAACAACTTTAAACTTTTTTCTTTCTGCTTAACAAATAACATCAAAACATACGGCTTTGCTAAAAATAACTCTGGTTCAAAAGTTTAGTTAATTATACAGACCCATGAAAAGAAATAATTGTTTAAATCTAGGTCTTTGGGTAATATATCTATAAAAAATTATTGGTTGCTATGCGGTTGTTAAGTAAATTTTTTTTACTCTTACCAACTAAAACAATTTTTTTACATTTTTTTATTAATTAACCCATATCATGTTATATATGGTTAAAAAGCCAATTAAATTTTAAACAAAGTTGGCTGATAAACTAAAAAACACATTTTTTCACAAAAATCGCTATTTTTTTACCTGATAACCACCTAAAGGAGCTTTCCGTTCTAGGATTTGTGTTCGTCGAAATAGAGAAATCAATTTTGTTGTCAGGATTTGGTTTTTCTATTTTATTAAATTCACCTGAGTTAGGTCGTGATTTTTGAAAAAAAAAATATATTCTTCATCCTCCATAAAATAAATTTATTTATCCGAGTACTGTGTCCTTTTAGTGTTGCAATATGAACGAGGCTTTTTGTTATAAATTTATCTTAATTTAATTTTCACTGAAAATTTTGTTATTAATAAAATTTATCTTTAATATTGTTAATACTTTTGCCCTTTGAAAAAAAGCTTGTTTCATCTATATGTTTCATTCATAACATCCTTCTTTTTAAGCCTTACTAATGTTTTGCTCTCACACACAAACATCTGTTGTAGTATATTTTATTATATTTTATATATTTTGATATTAATTAATTTTTTCTTTTATAAATAATACACTTTTTTACATAAACGGATGTTTTTAAACTGTCATTAAAACATATATTGATTTCACAACTATAAGCTAACTAAAATCAAATTAATAAAATCATTAACCTAACTATCACGCTATTTCCTTTCCGAAACGGTTAAAAATACAAATAAAAACCGTAATGTCATCTAAACAAATCGTAGCAAAATTACATTTTACTACAGTGTGTAACACATGAGACTCTAAGTTTCATTAATAAAATATATTATATTATAAACATTAGCTTATAGCTAACTCCTGGTACTGCGGGTAACAGTAACATATACTAAATAAGTCTAGTTTATCTATTAAGTACTCTTATTAACTATACAATGTTATACATGATGTTATAAAGATTTACTTTATAAACTTTCTTTATTCATTTTAACTCATCTATATTATCATTTTAACTTACTTATATATTGATTTAAACTTATCTTAACATTCAATGTTACAATCACTTAAATTTTTTGCACAAATATATTTTTAAAATCACTAAAATTTAGATTTAATAACTCGCATGGCTATATATTTAGCAAATAACTGAATCTTGACTTGAATTTATTTTACAATACAGCCTCGACAAAACAGGCAGTTGTCATCTAATTGCGTCAAACAACCATCACATACACAAGAATACTTTACCCCTTTATGTTAATAATTTCTAAAGGTGCTCACATTCTTTAGATGTGAAATTTGCTATTAAATTGCTTCTAAAACCTAAAGAAATGCTTGATAAAATAACCGAAGCTATTTCAAAGTGCAGTTATAATAAAAAAAGTTTTGAACAAAAAATTACAAAGCTTGCTACAAGCCTAACTAAGAGTTAAAAACATTTATGTTACTCTACTTCATATATCTCTAGGCTAACTATTAAATAACACTTTAACACACATCTGTTTCAATATATTGCCTAATGCACATTATGATATCAACGAATAATTTTCTTCAACCGTTAAAACATTTAACAAATTAACAACTATTAGCTAACTAAAAACAAATTAATAAAAACATAATCCTAGCTGCATGATGATTTCCGTCACTTAATTAAATAAAATACAAATGTAACTCGAAACGTCAAATAAACAAATAATAGCAAAATAAAACTTTACTACTTTCCTGTTGAGTGCGGTAACACATGAAACTCAGAATTTCAATATTAAAATATATTATTTTATAAACATAAGCATTTTCTAAACATTTACAAAACGAAACGTACTTCGTACAAACGAAACGTACGAAAGTAGCGAAAGTAAACATACGAAAGTAAATAACTTGACAACTTGCCTCACATCAAAACTTATTAAATGATTTAAAATATTACAGTGGAACTTTTATAGTAAGCAAAATTGAATAATAAAATAAAAGTATAATAAGTTTTAATATTTTGTTTGCAAAGTTTGATTTTTTTAATGATTCATTTCTTTTGATCGCTTTTGTGCTATACTTTCCCTTTTTTTTTCATTTTCTGAACTTTGATTGCTCATTAGTTAATTTTGTTCTGACTTTCGAAGTTTGAAGAGTAATCTGCATTCATACATTTTGCAATACAATTTCGTTTTCAAAAAAAATCAAAAAATTTATAATAATTTTTATATATTGTTTTTTAAATATCTCAAATAAAAGTAAATCTAATTATGCATTTGGAAAGTTAATTATTCAGTAACATATTAGTTTTTGTTTTAAATTATAATAATGGTATCACTAGGTAACAATTTAAAATTAGATTACAATTTACACTAGTCTATTATGCAAGTTATCTGGCGTTACTTTTGTTCATGTTGTTGCATATTGAACGCAAATATCATCTCTTCCAGAAATTTAACAATTTCTTTTTTAGAACAAACTCAAATAAGTTTATGATCAAGTTACTTAACTTTAAAAATATTTATAAGTGGTAATATGATAGAACTTGCCCCTTCATTGAATTAAAAAAGAAAAATAATAAATGATAATGTATTTTCTAACTACTAATTTTTATTAGATAAATGAATCTAAAATTACGTTATTTATTTAAGAAAGTTTTACACCAGTGTTTAGAATAAACGCAATGCTTGGTTGCGATTGATACGTAGTTTCATTTGTATTTTTAAAGTGACCCATGTGTTTGTAAAAAGAGTCTCCATCTATCTTGCTCAGTTCAGGCTTCTAAAATTAACAACTCTCTAGATGTCTATTATTTGTTGCTCTAAAATATGCTGGGGAATTTTAATGCAATTTAGAGGCAACATCATTAATTGTGCATTTAAATAATAAAAATGTGCATTTTTTGTGTATAAATGTGCAATTGTGCATTTAAATAATAAAAATGTTTTCCTTTAAAATCCTAACACGATTCCTTACACTTAGATTAGTATTAACTTTTAGGGCAGGAGACGTGTCAGTTGGAAAAAACATTGTTTACCCGCTTATCCATTATAAAGGTGACGTTAGGCGCATTTATAATCATTTTTAACGCTGAGTTACTTGAAATGTTGCAGGTCAATATGTTTGTCGTTAACAGCTTTATAATATTTTAACATTTCTATTTGGTTGTAAGAACTCGTTAGGTCATTCAAAGTTTATAGTAATGGAATGTCTAAACTACTTGCTTTATATAGTTAGGACATTATATATTGGTCAATCTATATTAGCTATATGGTTTCAAAAAGAGAAAATTCTAAAACGCTTTGTAAATATAAAACTATAACTTTAACAAAACATGATTACAACAGCAATATAAAAAGAACATTATAAAAAAACAAAATAAAATTATGTTTTAGTTATATGACAACAACTTCTTTGTTTTTAAATATTTATTTTAAGAAATTTTATTTCAATATAACTGACCTTTGAGTTTAAATTATTTGAAGATAAAATTGGGGCAATTGTTTGAGAAGGTAATAGTGAATCAGCTTTCTCTTTCTAAAAGGTTACATTTAAGATAAATAAAACTCTATGATTATAAGAAATCATCAAATATCCGAGATTTATATTGATTTTTTAAGTTAATTTCATCACATACAAGAGGCAGCAGGTTGATAAATATCCCAAAAAGCGTCGTATAAGGTTCAAGTCAAATCAAAACTGGACCAAAAAAGTGTCACAATATAATTTGAAGAGGCCCTGAAACCATTTTAGAAAATGAGAAATAAAAGTTTTTAAAAAAAATTAAACTAAAATGTCAACTAACGTCTGAGTTTAAATCTACTGAAGAAGAAATTGGAGCAAATGTATTCAAATTTAGTGCAGCTTTCTTATTCTAAATGAATAAATCATTTTCGTGATAAATAAAGGCCTATGACGATAAAACGAATTATTAAACGAAATAAAAACTT